AAATATAGAGTTTGCCTGATCAACAATCCCACCACTAAATGTTATTTGGGAGAGGGCTGACTTGTTGTGCATGCCTTGTTACCTACTGGCACTCTTGGCGGTATGTTGTAGTGATTACATGCTGAAAATATAGAGAGCACTGCCAAGATTCGACTTTTGTTGGGTCTGCTTATGAAAACCAGGCGAGGTCGAAATTATATTTCATCTGGATGATAATTTCCCCTTGGAGACAAGACTAAATGGCGCCTACTCATTTAAATAAAGAAAATTTCGCTATTATACCTTTGGTTAACTTGAGCGACCTAGGCGGACTAAAGTTATTTATAATAAATCCTGTTTTTCTGGAAAGCTTTCAATGGAATGTCGTAATAGTAGGGCATATAAGAAAGCATGAAGAAAAACTGGGTTTCGGAGTCATTTCACAATCTAAGAAAGTATTTTTTGTTGAGGTTCCTAGACTTTGTATTCGGGCGATAACAACCATTGGGAATCTGTCCCTCATGCTCTATTAGTAAAAATTTTTCTTTTCAGCACCTATATACCTGCTCATTGCAAGACCTCTTGCCGGATCTCAAATCCGAGTTCGGCTCCTCGGACTGGAGAGCTGTTGATCTAACTATTCAATGCCTGATGGCCCTTCCGACTGGCTCTGCTTATTCCGATTGTGGATACGGTCTACATCTTCTTATTTTTGCGCCGCCTGAAGACGAGTTCAAGGAAACTACTGGCTTTTATATAGCCTCATTGGAATTGCGGCCCTCTTCGTTCTCCCCTTCTTCGATTTCTTCTACACTCCGCGCCCATGATATGGACACTCCTTCACGTCGCCATAATAGTCATCATCATTCACTTAACCAGTCGATCCAATCCACACCATCTGAACTGATCAAGTCGGGCCGGGCTTACCAATTTCCACGACTTTTTCGCACAAACCGTGTTCATTTACACGATTTTGTCAATTGGTTGCTTGAGTCAGAAGGCTCCGTCTCCGTAGCTTCAGAACCTCGGGATAGTCGGCTGAATGTTTACGACTCTACGAACGAGGCCTCTAGAGTGGAATTGACCTCGATTGCTTCAATTCGTCTACTTTTACCTCATCCAATGGTCTCTAAGGCTTATCCTTGCTTACTTACCGCCATCTACTCTCAGCAAAACTCTCGTGTGCTCCTTGTAGAGGGTAAATATTTTTTTTATTATGTGATAGATTTTCACCTCGTATTTCTAGTATTGCTTATTTCGTTAATTTCCCCACTTTTCGACAATCTTCATTCCAAATACTCCCATAGATTCTTTATTATACTAGTTTTTTTACCCTTTTGAGAACAGTTTTTCTATTAATTCTATTAAATCCTATCATTAACAGATTAAATTTGAGATACAGTGAATAGGGCTTTAAATCTCGGTAGATCCTTTACACTCAATGAAGTCACCTTAGGTTGTTTCA